TGTCAAGTTCGAGTTTTGAGAACTTCTCATGTTTCAGGACCGTCCGTCAGGAAATAATGTGTTTCAGGTGTATCGGCTGCTGGGTCTTCTCTGGTCTCGACCATATTAATCTTTCATTCATCTCGAACGCCAAATTCATTTATACATTGCCATTATTTGTGCATTATTGATTGCTGATCGATTTTATCCCTTCGCCTTCCGGATAGGGGAAATCTCTCACACCCATATATCTACATGCTCCGCCCAATTCCATTGATCTCCGCGCGCTGGTCGTTCGCTCTATAGCATCTCGAAGCATCGCTCTTCCGATTGTTCTCCTATTTTGCTATTAATATTTGCTATTTAATTCTAATGCTTTATTGAGAGACGTTTAATGTACATTAATATGTGCACTTACAGATAGCTAGTTTTTAGTGATGAATACGATGCCAATGGGAACCAGGGGGGATAGCATAGGAGTTTGAGGAAATGAATCATAGTCGTAATGCCCGCGGAGATCCACGGCTACGAGCAATGCGCGTCGCAAAGGAGCGGCTAATGCCTGTTTGGACTCCAGAAATTTCGTCTTCGAGCTCATTTTCAAATTGCCTAAGTCACCAAATCCACTAAAAACTTGTATATAGGGGTAATTCAACATCCTGATTACGAGTATGACATCGATTCTTGAGCTTGGCGCCACGCAGAGGACACTACGATGGGCTCAGCCTTAGCAGAGCGGAAGTAATCGTAGTGTCATCCATTAGAGCCAGCGCCAAAATGAATATCATATTCGTGATCAGGATGTTGAATTACCCCTATATACAAGTCTTTAGCGGATATGGTGATCTTGCCACTTTTAAAATGAGCTCGAAGACGAAATTTCTGGAGTCCAAACGGATAGCGCTAAGGAACGTGAAAGTGCGTATGTCGAGCGACTAGCTGGGAAACACTTCGCTAGTTTAAGCGCGTCGCCGCATCCAGCATCTACCGCATTACACCTGAGAAAACCAAAATCAAGCAGGTTATCCTGGCGAGGATGAGTGGGTTTGAATGGCGCCAAAATACTAGTGCACCAAAGAACCTGTGTAGGATATTTTTTCTATTAAAAGCGGACCTACCGGGTACGCCCAACATTAGTTCCAGCCTGCTCAAAAACTCCAAGTTTTGCACAGGCTGGAGCTCATGGAGGGTGCTGGAAAATCTAAGAGAGGAAGGTCAGATGGATTTTAATTCCTTCTGTTGGACACCCTGTGTCTTGAGGATTGAGTTCCGGGTTCAGAGCAGGACGCGATAGAATTCATTTTGAGGCTTTCTTTTTTACTTGGGAAACCGCAGCTGCAAGTAGCCACAGCAGATCTTCTACTCTAGCAAGTCAAGGTTCTAGTTGACAAAGCAGCAAGTTCTTCGCCTCACAAACGATTACCTAGTTCCATTTCCGGAAAACAGCGTGTTCAGTTAATTCTGCGCTGTATGAGTTTCCATTCATTTTCGCTATCTCAAGCGTTCGCTTTCGCCTGGCTTCTCGCGCATGAAGGCCATTAGCGTTCATACGTTAGCGAGCTGCTTATGCGCCATCTCTAATGTGATCCAGTCACAACGGAGATGGAGCATAAGCAGCTTAAAGTGACCATGGAGCAAGGCCCACCAGAAAAAACACTACCGCCGACCAAAGATGATCGGCCGTCAACTAAAGAGCAGTCATTATCACCGCGAGGAGGGGCGTTGATTGGATCGCAGCCGGGACGGCCTTTTCCACCAATTAATGCCAGATAAGCCAGCATCAAATGGTGGAAAAGGCAGCCCTGGCTGGCTCCAATCGACACCCCTCCACACCCTGTCGTTTGTGGAGTAATGAGTGTACCCACTTATACCAAACTATCAGATTCTTGAAGGTGTAGTGGCATGCGGTACGGCTCATTAAGCCCATAAATTGAATGCTGTCAGAGCTGAATTACCCATTTCTCTAAAGGAGTTTGACTAATGGTAGACTCAGCGCGCTGTGAAAACAGTGAAACGGCTCGGACAGCGCGCTGTGAAAACAGTGAAACGGCTCGGACCTTCAACAACTCCCTGTTTATCCCATAAATCCCACTGGCATCGTATCCGAACCAGCGCGTGCCTCTTTGCGACCAATACAGCATGCTAATCCCATTCACATTTCCACTAAGGCCAAACCATACACATTCAACAACGCGCGCGATATGCTACGTGTTCAGCTATTTTTATGCCTTTCGTTCACCGAAACCACGCACTACAAATCCCTTCAAGTATCTCTGACGTGATCCCCACACGTCTTGCTGCTGATAGTTTTAATGTATGTGTGCATTATTTGATATTATGAAGCAATTACTGTTGAAGAAACGGATCATTACGAGTAATAAAGTAGGTGAATATGCCTGTTTTAGGACGCTCCCAAAACGCGAGCGTCACAAGCCCCCACTCAAAGGAAATGGGTGCATTGGCTAGAAGGAGGGGCATCAGCTTTAGCGTTATTGACGGAAAGATGTTAGAACGCTCTCATACTTCGATTCATTGGCACGACTTCCAAATCGCGCTCCACTGCTAATCGTTGGACTGCCAACACCGCCTATTTTTCGATTACGACGCAGCAGCCGGTTGCACCGGTTCAAAGCATCAGAGGTGGAGCGCGGCCGGTTGCACGCCAGACTGATTTGCTCGAGTGGTGAAGTATGAACGCGGCCTAACGTCTCTCGATCAGTGACGAGAGAACTGTCACTCCGCCCCCTAGCCAACGCACTCACTGCCCTTATCATATATTGATCGTGATGCTCGTTATTTGACGCCACATGTATATGTATTGATTTCCGCGTCTGTTACCTTTCCTCAAAATCCCGGTGTACGTCTAACCCTCTGTAATCGATTCTTGTACATTGAACAGACAGACATCGCCCCCTTGTTATTATTCCGCATAATTTTCGATTCGAAAATGAATGTGTTTCGACTCTAAGGAATAAAAATTTTGATCAAGTTCGGTGTTACTGTTTAATGATTGATTTATGGTAAAAAAAAATCTAAAACAATTCGGGCAACAGTAATGATAACAGATATAGTATACGAATTTCTCACCGATAGAGGCTAACAAATTATCAACAAGTGAAATATCTACAACAGCACGGCCAATGATCCAAGCTCGACACGGTCATAAACACCCGGCACACCGGTGCGTGCTGCCTTGCGGACGCCGCTGCGCACAGCTTGGCGCATCGATGCTACGCGAAATGACAGTATTAGCGAGCAGTATCGTGGTTCACCGCAGTAGTGCATGTCTTTAATCGACCAACTAACAACTTGGGCTGTACAGACATTCCCAATAGTAAGAAAAACGCAGGACATCAATTTAAACCTTCGCGCTGGCAAATTAGGAGGGGAGGGGGGGGGGGGTGGTTCGCTTATACCTTGATTGGTCAACCATGGCAAAAAATGAGAGTTGGAATTGTGACGACTCGGTGACTTGTCTGTCTATCACTACATTCAGGTGCTAATCAAGAAGTAAAAAACAGGCAAGATACAAGGAAGAAATATTAGTTCACCAAGTCGCGCGAAAGCATGAACCCAGAATATGGACCGCCTGGCCCAATAGCCCAACTTCACAAACGCAATAAGAGGTCGGCTGTAACATCTTACGAAGCGCATCCGATAAGACCTCACGGGATGTCCAATCACATTTACCACATAACGGTATGTATTCACCATTACAATAAAATCCTCACTCCATGTCCAGGGAATGGGAAGGGCGTGGTAGTGTACTTCGTTTGAACGTGGTGGCGGCTGAGCTTCTGGAAGAGTATTGGTTTGGAACAAATGTAGCCACGTCACAGTCCTGTACAAAATAGAATGCAGGGCACATCATCGGTTGGGGATCTTGGTCAAGTCCGTACGACCCCCACCCTCTTTTTTGGGGGTAGTACAACCACCCCCCCGGCCCTCTGCCCCCTCCTCATCGAATCGAGCCGTCGAGCGGGAGGGGGTGGGGCGTGTATACAGTACACATGAAACAGGAAAATCACGAAAATTCAAACACCGCTTTAGAAGGCCAGAAAGTAAACACGACTCCCTCCCTCCCAACAATGAGCAAGCACTACCCCCCCCCCTTTTACAACGCCAGCTTAAGCGGGAAAATCAGTCTATCAAAATAACATTTTCCCCAGCCAAATACGACCCCCCCCCCACTGGGATTCGGGGAGCGGATTGGTTTTCGTACTTGGCTCTCCAAAAAAAATTTCTTGATAGGCAATTTTCCTGGTCCAGGGCGCCAAATCACACGTTGGAGGATTCCACATGCGATGGGATGAGGGGTGGGCGGAGGGGAAGTCGTATGTGTTTTGCTTCTTGTCAGGAGAAAAAAAGTGTGTTCCTTGCTTTGGATTTACCGAGTTTTTTCCATTCCCATGAATTTGATACCCCTTCCACCCCCCCCCGCCCTCTGCTGGACTGCAACATTCTGGGGAAAACTGGCGAAAAACTAGCGAAAGTGAAATTTTTGGACATTGGCAAAAGTTTGGCCAAGAAAAGATAAAATAGTCGGTAGGATGGAGCGGCGAAGGGAGGGAAGTTGTACAGGAGCAAAGGGGACAGTGGGGAAGGGGGAGGGAGGCTTGTATCTTTACCGAAGGATTTTCCAGCCCACCAGGACTCCTGATGAATAGCTGGCGTCAAATGGTATGCTCCAACGAAAAGCGCCTTACTGAGCCCAATGTTCACAAACGCCGAGCCACCGCCTCCCTAATCTTCGCCGTAATGGAGTGTAACTAGAGTAGTGGTTCCCTGAATGAAAGGCTTATGCACCACAAGAGAGCTTTAACAGTGGGCATTCAAAACAAGGCGCATCATGAATCTCCAGTAAAACGACTATTATTAAGCAATTTAAACAAGGTCCATGAATGAAGCGAGGTATGGTCGTGCTCGAAAGAATATCTTCTAAGAAATTCAAACTACAAAACTACAGACTCTATCATGGAAAGAGAATCGGAAAAGACTGGGAGATTAAGACTTCTTCGTAGTTACCACTGATCAGTTGTCACCCTTTCTTCCCTGAGTTTGAACAGCTTGTTCGATTTGATGCCCACACGTAAATCGAAACGTCGACGATAACGTTGCACAAATTGAAGGTCGCGAGCTGCCTGTTTAGCCACAGTACCTGAAAGCAAGCACAGAAAGGGAAAATGATGAGAGAAATGCAAAATTATAAGTCCAAAGATTTAAGTGGTCGCCAATTGGGCCACAGTCAATTCACGGAGCAGATTATTTCCCTAAGTTTGGAGTTCAGCAAGTTTCGCCTAGATACGTATTGGATCACATTTGCTTCATGCGGCACAGATATACCCAAAGACGCGGAAAGAGCGGCCACACGCTAAATAGCAACTTTTCCTGCAGAGCGGAGTCATGGGGCTGCGTTCACACTTTGCGCTAACGTACGCCAGCGTACGGTAGCGTTCGAGCGTACGCTAGCGCCAGCAACTAGGTATGTCTACATAGCTATCGATCTTGCGTACGCCAGGGTATGCCAGCCTTCCGTGGGCAGTATGAGTTTCAGCAAAAAAGCCTGTGAAAACATTGACGGTGTGTTGATGGGATGGCTCTGGCATTACGCTGACGCAAAGTATGAACACAGCCTGACAGCTAGCTACTGGTCACATGGATTAACAAAAGCGATGCTAATAATCTCCAACTTCTCTCTTCATAGAACCTCGGCATCGTTGTTTATTTGTGTTTGATTCTTTTGTGCCTTCGAGGTTGTTAGGTGGAACTATTTATTAACGGCCTAACGTTTCGACCAGATCGTCGTCCTCGGAGGCCTGAACATTGCTCAAGGTTTCTAATTTGCTTTCTAAACCGTCAAACGCCTCGTCCCCCTAGCGTTTCTGACAAAACTTCTAGGAACAACCGAAAATATCCCGTATGTATAACCAACTCACCAAGTCCACCGCGGTAGGAGCGGAAGAAGCCGCCCAGTCAGTTGTTAGTAGTATTTGTGAGACTTACTGTGCTGTCCTTACATATAGTAATTATATTCAAGACTTGCACGTCTCACTGCTTACAGTAGCTGGCAGTGCGGTGAAAATGGCAAGAGATCATTTGTTATGGATAAACACTCATTACGGTTGTTCATTCTAGGATTCCTAGCAGAAATCCAGAATGCCTCCAGCGCTTTCCTGGCGGAAACCTCAGTCTCGTACGCTAAAATTCTGCACTTCACATCATAGTCGGTTCCGCAATGCTCTTCGATCAGATGCCTGCCCAACGGTGTTGTTAGTTTACCACGCCTTTTACCAGCAAGATGTTCCTTGATGCGCGTTGCTAGCGCCCTTCCAGTCTCCCCAATGTATGTTGCATTACACGTCTGGCATTCAAGTTGGTAGATCACACCAACTTTGGCGCAATCTCCTATTCTACCATTAGGACATACAATGCAATGGTCTGATATACACTGCTTATCGTAGAGTCTATTTCGTACAAGCTGGCGCCTGATGTTGTCATTGGGAATGTTCACCAAGACAACATCATTGGTCAGCTGTGCACGAGCCAGACATCTTTGAATTGCAGCAGTTATATTATCAGATATGAACGGTATACATAGGGGGATCTTGCTTTGGCGAGTTTCACGTGGTACGTTCGGGCGCTCAGTGTGAGTTCTTCTGTGGACATGTGGAAGAGCATAGCCATTTGAAGCAGCTATATCAGCAGCCAGTCGTATAGATTCTTGCCGTTCTGTCACTCCGGCTGCATACGTTTGCAGCCTGCTCGTGTGAAATGTTTTAACAACTGCCCACTCTTCAACCCGGGAAGGTATGCTGCAGCAGATGTGGCAATGAATCAAAGATGTTCTTGGAGCTTGCTTTCCTGTACCACTTCACACTAAGCATACCATCGGAAACCTTCACCTGAGTGTTCAAATAGGGGAGCCAACCATCTCGCGGGACTTCTCGTGTGAGCTTAATGTACTGCGACTGCGACTGCTCGTCATTTCAGGCGTAACACTCATCCATTTCGGACTGTGTCGATGTTACAATGAAGCAGTCATCTATGTACCTGCAGTACATTAACGGTAAGCGTTCCAGTACTGGTTCTTCTATTCTGCTCATGAAGCAGATTGCAAGCACTGGTGCTAAGCGTTGACCCATAGCGAGACCTCTCGTTTGAGAATAATAAGCTCCTGACCACTTGAAGATGTTGCATTCCAAGCATGCCTTGATTAGAGTCATGATGTGCGCTTTATCTAGTCCATAGGTCTCTATGCTTCCTACATACCTGTCCAACATTTCGGACAATGCTTGTAGAGCCTGATCGTTTTGGACGTTAGTATAAAGCGAGGTGACATCGAATGACTCCACTACGCAGGTGCTTGTCAGCCGTGAACTGCGTAAAAGATCAAGGAACTTGGTCGTGTTAGTCAGGTGAGAGGGGACCTTGGTCAACAACTGGCTCACGATGCAGTTGAGAAACCATGAAATTCGATCGGTTGGTCCACCCACGCAACTTATGATTGGTCGAATCTTGAAGGTTTCCGGCGATGTCGACATCATGTCTCTAGGAGCAAGTTTGTGGGTTTTCACAAGGCTGTAGAAGACAGGACAGTCCGGGCTGTCGAGTCTGAGTCTGCTAAGCAACTTCTCGTTGAGTCCCGCAGACTGTCCCTGCTCCATCCAAGCATTATTGAGACGCCTGCATTGGGAGTGAAATTCTCTCTCTGTCGCTTGACGATAAATTGATGTATCCGCCAGGTGGAGTTCCGTGATCTGACGATCTAGGGTTTGTGACATAACCACAAACTCTCCACCTTTATCACTCACAGAGATGCGTATAGTGCCGTTTGATCTTAGCTCACGTAATTCTCTGAAACCTTGCTTCTGCTCGTATGTCAAATTCCTGCAGCGGAACCGACTGTTCTGGGTTAGAACAGACAGAATTCCTGCTGACAGGCTTCTCATTTTGACATCAACTTCTGGTACGGGCTCAGTTTCTTTGTAGAGTGTACGTGGAAACGGCACTGGTGGAAGTGGTCTCTGAGAGGATGTGGCGGTATGCATACTATTGTCGCGACGATGTTTAAAGCGCAGCAGATCTCGAAGCCTTTGTAAACTTCCCACAACTTTACGGAATGTTAGAGCACTGATGTTTTGTGCAGGTGAGAAAGATGGACCGAGACTGAGAAAATCGAGCGCATTAGAGGATATTCGAGTGTCACCCAAAACAGTGACTCTTACATTTTCACTACCACTGTCAGTATTTGTGTCTAGCCGGGGGGGGTTTAATGTGTGAGTCGCCCCTTACATCACGGGGATTTTCGTGACTTGTTCCAGTAAGCCTATCATATTTCGCACAAAGGGAGGATTTGACCTTAGACCGAATAGAAGAACAAATTAATCTTGACCCACCCTCAATCCTCCTCCAAGTCATTTCTGGAAGAAGACGCCGGCATGCCTGTTCTTTAGCATTACATTTCAACAAAGTCGAATACAATACATATTGCTTTCTCTTAATCACCGCTCCTAAGATAGAACGATAAATATTCAAAACAGATGGGTGATTATTATCACGACCGCCAAATTGTATCCGCATCTTGCGCTATTTGTAATCGAAGCGTAGGCCAGTAACTCCGGTCGTCTTACATCGTTGGAGGAATTTGCGGAACCGACTATGATGTGAAGTGCAGAATTTTAGCGTACGAGACTGAGGTTTCCGCCAGGAAAGCGCTGGAGGCATTCTGGATTTCTGCTAGGAATCCTAGAATGAACAACCGTAATGAGTGTTTATCCATAACAAATGATCTCTTGCCATTTTCACCGCACTGCCAGCTACTGTAAGCAGTGAGACGTGCAAGTCTTGAATATAATTACTATATGTAAGGACAGCACAGTAAGTCTCACAAATACTACTAACAACTGACTGGGCGGCTACTTCCGCTCCTACCGCGGTGGACTTGGTGAGTTGGTTATACATACGGGATATTTTCGGTTGTTCCTAGAAGTTTTGTCAGAAACGCTAGGGGGACGAGGCGTTTGACGGTTTAGAAAGCAAATTAGAAACCTTGAGCAATGTTCAGGCCTCCGAGGACGACGATCTGGTCGAAACGTTAGGCCGTTAATAAATAGTTCCACCTAACAACCTCGGAAGGCACCAAAAGAATCCAAAACACAAATAAAAGCGATGCCTTTTAAAGGCAGTTGGCACGATAAATCCCCCAAGACGACTAGGATCAATACTCCTGGCAGGATAGAATTCCGCGACCCTGGGCAGGCGCTGCATAGCGGTTTCCCCGAGGAAGGTGCCCTTATAAGGGCCCTATCCATTACGTCCCAAACGCCCGCCACGCCCGCCCGCCCACAAATGGACGACCGTTCCTGACGCTCGTATTCATTCATTTGCTAAGCAAATTATGAAGCGAAGGGATTGGTATGAAGCGGCCGTGATGCTGCATGCATACATGGGTACACATATGCAGCCGTATCTTCGGTAGCGGTGATTGGTAAGATGCCTACGGGAAACTCGTCCGAAATCGATTTTTTCGTCTTTTTCTTCGCAGGATTTTGACCGTTTCACTCCGTTCTTTCGCCATTTCCCCACTATACAGCGCCCTACTAGCAGGCTAAGTAGGAAACCATCGTACCAACTGCCTTCAAATTGAAGGGACAGTTTGCACCTTCTCTTGTTCCCTTTTTAGATTCATGTTAACTGTCTCACATCGGTCAGTCCTGTGACGCTGCCAGAGATCCTCACAAGATGGTCTGTTGTGACTGGGCTAGTCGTAATAGACCACCTGCTTAATATCTGTCAGGCTGGAAACCTTATCAGGGTATCATTCGGTGCCCCCACAAAGTCGAACTCGGCTGCGAGAGCCTAAGCAACCAAAACAATACTAGTGGTTCTGCCTCCTGTCCCTCTGTCTCCATCCTTTTCCAAACAAAGTTCAGGTAATTAGGAGAAAGAAATTAATTTGGAACCAGCGCTATACCTGTTGAGCCGGTCCATGCTAAAGCTGGGTACAGCCCACGAGCTTTGTCAAGAGCTGCCTTTCCAACGTCAGGTTTATTACCGTCTGTGGGGCGAAGATACTGACGATAATACAACATCAAGGAACGATGTCCAATTTTAGCCCCTGAAACCAAAAATAATAGGGCTAAAACTTACACGGCCAAAGGATGAATGTTCTCCGTCATAGTCATAAAACTTACCTGACGGAAGCGTCAGCGTCCAGCCATCATCGTAGACGGCGTCTGGTGAAGATCCTTCCTTGTCATTTTCATACATTGGACTATAACAGGAGATGTTCACTTGAGGAGAACCTCAGTTCAAAAACCTACTCGAGGGTTCGCGCAATATGGATCTAGAGAGGCGTGGAAGATAAACGGCACATAGTAAAGATAGTACGAAAGACACAATCCGCAAATGGAGGTCATGAGAGGGCGAAGTTTACATCTTCTGGTTAAGGCCAACGTTGCCATCTCACTGCCAACATTCCTAGCCAACTCATTGACTCAATACACACTTTAGCGACAAGTCATTC